ATTCTGACAAAGAAAGTTAAACATTATTATTATGAAAAATTAAAGAATAAAGGTAAAAGTTAAGTTAAAGTATTACTTGTTTTATCGGATAAACGACCCCAGACATGGTTCGTTGCGTTGCGTTATAGTTATAAGTTGAAAATGCCAAAAAATTGAAAATTTGTTCGTACATAGAATTCATCCCCCGCACCCTCGCGCAATTCCCGAACACTATACAATACACAGTAAAATTTGTCTTGCTTCAAGTACCTCAACTCCGCCGACAATCAATTTTTTCCTCAATTCCGGAAATACGAGCGGGATTAGTCCCGCATATTGCATGAGAAATCCCGCAGTATCCCAGTATTAAATTCCCTAATTGTGGTCGATTTTCACCTGACTTAAACAAGCGATTAATGAGACTAATTAGTCATTATTTCTGATAACCAATCATATTGATTATGAAAACTACAGCCGGGCCAATTGATGTGCGTTGAGTTCTTAGCACGGAAAAGAGCTGAACTTAAATGATTTACTTCAACACAGAATAGCGATCGTCCATTGCGCATCAGTAGGCATTACAATTTGAGGGACCACTTAACGATGGTTTAGCAGTACTTCAACAAGTAGATTTTACCTATTCCTCATCAAGGATCCATAATATCACCTAATGCTAATTCAAGTATTTATTATTGTTTCTACATTTGTAAACTTTTGTGGATAAAGATCGTCTTTATTGTACAGTGGATTTTATTTACAGTGGATTTCGGGTATAACGACAACGAAGGGACCTCTGTAATTTCGTCGTTATAACCAGAAGTCGTTACAGGCAAAGTTAAAGGAGATAAAAACACACACTGCTTTTTAATGTAGAAACAATTTTCGCCTTTTTTAACAGTAAATGTACATCTGGACTAATTCAAAACTTGTTGACTATCTGTGTGGATGTAAACAAAAGATAAGGAAGCACTTTATGTCATTAGCAGCTGACTCCGGTTGCTATATCTGCATAGGATTACTAGGGATTTGTTACAAATGATTCATTAAAAACAGTCGCTACACCCGAACTCGGCGTCACATCGGAAGTTGCTATAGCCACAAGAATTTTGTACTGAAGTATGCTTTAAATTTAATAGACTTACATATAACGTCGCTATAGTACCATGGTCGCTGTAACCAAGGTCGTAATAAATGAAATCCACTGTATATTAATCAAAGTTGTTTAAAACCGCTTTGCTCCTTATTAAAATTCAATATTTCTGCCCGAGTAAAATTTCAAAAGAGCACAGAAAAACGTCTCGATCCTGGCAAAGTGCTTTTTTCTTTTTATATGTTTTGAACAACATGTAATTTTGAAGAAATGTTGGTGATGAAAAATGGTCTCGCTTGTGCAATTTACTGTATTTAGGACGATACGCGACGACCTGTCGCAGTTGGGAGTTGACTCTATCTCTATCCCCTGTTATTAAAAACGATTTCTTTGAAGAATATGAACACGGCTTCACTTTATTTATCTTCTGGCGATTATATTAAAGTTGTAGCGAATGCTAGACAAACAAAATTAGATTTTAAACGGTCGTTATTGCTGGCGTAATTTTGATAAGAAAATTAATAGCAGACTCCATGAATAAGGAACCTTTCCATTGATAAAAAATTTTAGTTTTTATTAACTCACAGGCAATTTTGCAATATTTATTTTTCGAGGAAGTAATTGAATATTAAGTGATTTTTAAAATATTCAAAACAGGTTGCTTGGAATTATTTTATGAAAAGGACAAATGACGTGGTGGGCTTAGTTCACAAATGAATATATACAACTACGAATAAATCATGTGCTTAACTACTTATCTATTTCATCATCATAAGGTCGTCAGTCCTAAGATTGGTTGGACACGTACCTCCACTCTTTCCTATCCTGAGCTAAACTTCGCATTTCCCTAAAACTAGAGCAACCCACATCCTTAACTATTTGCGAACAGTAATCTAATCTAGGTCTACCTCTACCCCTCTTAACTCTTGTTTCTACCTCTAATATGTCTCTGACTAGATCTTCATGCCTAAGAAGGTGCCCTACCAACCTATCTCAACTATTTTTTATTGATTTCCATAGAGTCCTCTGTTCTCCTATTCTTTCCAATACCTCTTCATTTCTAACCTTTTCTACCCACGATATCCTCATCATCCGCCTATAACATCACATTTCGAACTCTTCTAACCTTTTCTTTTCCGCCGCGCCCACTGTCCATGTTTCGCACCCGTACAATGCGGTGCTCCAAACATACACCTTTAACAACCTTTTTCGAATTTCTAAATTAACCGTTCGTGAGCGTAGAAGTGACTTCTTTTTATTAAAGGCGACACGACCCTGCGCTATCCTCTGCTTTATATCCCTACTACTCTTTCCATCCTGACTTATCTGACTTCCTAGGTATCTAAAATCAGCCACTTCTTCTAATTTTTCGTCTCCTATCATTATATTCGCTCTTTCCCTACTTTTTCTTCCCTTGCATCCCGGTATTTTAGTTTTACTTTTATTTATTTTCATCCAGTACTGATCTGTCAGTACCGCTTCCATTTTATTTAAAGCTATCTCTAGGTCCTCCTTGCTAGATGCTAATACTGCTATATCATCTGCAAATCTAAGCATACTAATTTTTTTTCCTAATTTAACCATAACTATCCTATCGCTTTTTTGTAAATAACATTCTACACTCTGCTCTACTTTCCTAATACGCATTACAATTCCTACCCCCGAATTACCTTCTACCGATCCTGTATATATTACTCTAATGTCCCCACTCCAGAAGTCTCCGGCTTCGGGCCAACGGACTTCACTAATACCTACTATATCTAATTCTAATCTGTCCATCTCTATTTTTAAATTGTCTAATTTTCCTACCTGCCTCATTGTTCTAACATTCCACCCTCCGACTCGTGAAACATTGCACCTATCCCTATTGCACTTATACCCCGAGGTAGTCCCCGCCCGGACATCCGAATGGGGGACTAGTTTACGTCCGGAGTGCTTTACCCCAGAGGACGCCATCATTTAATTTGTGTAGTACATTTTACTCGGGATCATAATGTGGTGGTTTCCCGTTGCCTTCCACATCGCAGTATTGTGCATCAGAGTGCCATACCGATCCTCATGATCTCTTCCACCCTGAGTACTGAAAGAGCTGCTGCCCTCTTTCAGGGACTTGTCTTAGTCTGGTTTCTCTTTAAGAACCTCTCCATTATGGTTGAACCTATGGTCCGGCTCCCTAAATCATCGAAACTCGCAAGCCGATCCACCCACTCTA